TGAATTGAATGGGTGGAAGAGTCAGCAAAGGAGGCTTATGGGACCAGATTCAGTAATGATAAAATTGGCTGACTCACATGAAGCTTCACCTACTAACATGATGCTTGTGTCAGCGCTGTTGCTATGTTTGTGCGTCTCAGTTCATTTCAGTGAACAGGTCGGAAGCACTAAACTCTGTATTTGGAACAAAGGCTTTTCTCGAGCGCCGCCGGTGTAATCGAAAATCCATGATTTCCCCGAAATGAGATATTAAAGATTTGGTTTTCCTCCTAATCCTCCTTCCTAAAGCAAATCTTTGGCTCCACAGACCAGTGGGTAAGTGAGCAAAGAGATCTGACTGAGAGACAAGAAATTACCAAGAACACAAACAGCTAATGCGTGCTTCACATTCACAGTGTTAATCTATTAATTTTGTATGATGCTTTTAAAACCAACCACAAAAACTGTGTAACAGTATCCGAGAGTAGAAATAAATGTATTTAAGAGAGGACTCGGAGGAGTACAGACCAGGTAAATTTGCCCCGGGAGTGGAACATCAACACATCTAAAAGCCCATGATACACTTCTTTTTGATAGCAGCTCTCTGTCTTCTTGAAAGACAGCTGAGAACATAATCCACCAGACATTTATCTGTTCAGAACAACTAATGAGCACTGGCCATAAAAGCGCTGCTCTCTGTGTCTCTTTGCCAGTAAGGCAAACTGCCATGTGGGACACCTGGGCCTGCAGTAAGAGCACGCTATCCACTATCCAATAAATAAATAAATTAATAAATAAAAACACCCACTCCAACAAAATCTTCAATTTCACTTTAAACGGTCATTTGAAAAAGGATTAACAAACACTCCAAAACAAGAAAACATTATTAGTATTACTCACACTCTTCAATTAAAGTTCAAGAGCGTACCTTAAGAGAATAATGTCAGCCTTTACTAAATGGGCCTTTAATGCTTTATTTCACTATCTGGAGTGCTGTATTAACTGCAGAGTAAGTTTAGAGGGCAAATCTATGACTGTACTTGAAACAAGCTAAAGTGTACTCCACCACTGTGTACTCGTGAATGTTCACAGTGCACATTAAATCAAGAGTGGCTTCTCACTGTTCAAAGTATCAGTCTGAGCAGTTTTCAGTTGAAGAGCCCACAGCTCAAAACCCGACTGCAGGTGAGGAGCGCCGTGCTTGTTGGAGTTTAGGGCCTTTCTTTTTCCACCATTAAAGCTGTTGAATTTGTCAGCGTATGGCTCTACTGTAAAGTAAACTGAAGGTTTTGAGAGAGGTCAATGAGCTCAAATGGCCTGAAATGTGATGCGTGCCAGAAACACCACAGAGAGCCACATCAACTAAATCTACACTCACCACCACCTGCGCCATTAACCAGATTTTCATCCCTGCAACTTTGTTGATTTCCCAAATAATTCAAAGAAATCTGAAGGATTACTATTTTGACACAGTGGAGACGATGCAGCACACAGGTTTGAGGAGACAGAGTGATCGAAAAACAGCAGCTCAGTTGATGCAGCTATTTTCCACATTTGGTATAATGTTGACAACCACTCTCATTATGACCTCTTCGGTTTCCTCTCTGTCTATTACCCCTTCATAGATCGCACAACATTCCCGCAACATTCCTGTGTTTTTCTTCTCTATTTCACTCCCTTCTGTCTCTCTTGAAGAAATGTCTTCACTAAAACTCCCCAAAATAGTTTCAAGTTGATTTCTTGCTTTTGGTATTAATGCACAGCTTTGACATACACTCACATTATCAAAAATCCTATTCCCATCCCTCACGCAGCCTCTCATGTCATCATGTGGAAAAGCCCAGCTTTTCCTCCTGGGACAATGCAAACAGGATCTGTAGTCTTAATGTGACAAAAATCATGAAGCGTACAGCATCTCACTGTTTTTTCAGCTCATTGTTTCTGGTATTATGAGAAAATATTATAGACAATAACTTGTACGTATAATTTTCCAAAATGATGAACGGGAACACTGCCGACCTTGTGAAAAAAGCTTGTTTCTCATCATTTGCATTTGACTTTGCAGTACTCGTTGTGAATTTGAGACACTTTCAAAAACTATGAGTTCCAGCTCCAGTTAAATGAGGCTGCCACACAGTCATTACAGGGACAGAGTGAAAATATAGACAAGGTTCATCAAAGTCTAATGCTTCCATTTAAAAATCAATTCAAGTGGATGCAAGTATCCCAAACAATGCTCCAATCAAACCCCTTAACAATCACTAATGTCTTAGGAGAAAACTCATCAAAGGAAATGAAGTTTGTGATTGTGGCATTCATGCACTCACAGTGAAGCGGTCATTCAAACCCCACTACAATATTCCCTTCTTGCTTTTTTGTGACTACCTCATTTCCATGCTGATGTGTGTTTCTGTTAGACACAGCCACACATTTAAGGACAAACACTCCTCTAGTTTATTATTCACGCAAATGGAACAGTTTTAAACTAATGTTGGAAACCAAAGATGATGATGTCATGCCTACTATAACACTGATATATCTGATTTAAAACTGATATATCGCTTGACCTGCCCTTGATAGTTCAATATAAACCAGGTGACATGTCCATATCTTTCTTTCTTACTTCCTAAACAATCCACAAAAGGCACAGACCACGCAATTCCAGTACCAGTATAGTCCACTCCACATGACACTATCTTAATGAAGGCTCTCTAATGACCTAATGAAAGGTGCTTGTTTCTGACTCCAGGGTGAAAGGTGTAATAAGGTGTAATAAGGTGTAATAAGACAACAATGGTGTCTGTCACATTGATTTACGATGCTGTGCAGAATAATTCGTTATTCTTCTTCCTCATTTTCATCATCAATTACTAGATGCTCATTATACATTCATGATCAATAGCTTTCTGTGTCAGTACAGGGCAGACAAACGGGTCTGAATTATTAAATGATAATATATGAGCAGTTAATCACATGTCAGCATAGGACAGTGTAATAGTATGCTCTAAAAATACGTATAACACTCAATAAGAAGAGTTTTAATTTCGCTGTGAGGGGTGGCTGAAGGGTGGAGGTGGAAATAAATGGGCCTTTAACGAGTTCAGCAGTATAATCTTGTTTTTATTTCCTTTTAACTTCACAAAAGTTGAGTCGGCTGCACAGCAGGCCGAATTGATACAAAAGTAAACAAGGGAATCGATTTTTAAAGAAAGGAAAGTTCCGAGAGGGCTGGATTTGCTGATAGGTGCTAAACATATACAAATGTGGCAGACAAAAACACAGAAACACACTGAACACATCAGAGAGACTCAAAAGCCAATGAATGTGAATAAAAGAGAAAGGAGGGAGCACCTTAGAGTGTGATGGGAATGCTGCTCCATAGTTTGGGGGCACGCATGGAGAACACATGATTTCCTCTAAGTGTGAATCTAAAGTGTGGGACAGCCAGAAAAATCTAATGAGCTGAGCTGAGGCACCTAAAAATGGTGTAGGAGTGCAAAAGGTCAGTGATATAAGGAGCCAAACTATGAAGGTCTTTACAGACAAATATAAATCAATTCTAAACCTCACAACCAAGCAATGGCGAGAAGCTGAAATAGGTGTAATATGATCTTGTTTTTTGGGTGCCTGTGAGGAGCCTGATGGCAGCATTATGAACAAGCTGAAGACGGCATAGAGAGCACTGAGTGAAACCAGAGTAAAGTGGCTCGCATCAGCCCACGTGAAAGAAATGGAGGCATAAATGAGAGATCACATAAAGAAAAGTTTTGGTCGTTGTCTTGACATCGATGGACAAGCTGCCAAAAAAAGAGGCCAATTTCTGTTTTAAGCTCATACGGCTGAAGCTCAAACTGCTTAAAAGCAAGAACTCCTCCCAACATTAGGGAAACCCCCCTCTCCTTCATGCTACGCTTGGCACAAATACCCACAAGGAGTCCAAAGTCCATGCACTGGCAATACAAACTATGTGTTATATTACAGATTATACACTAGTGTAGTACAAAATCCAAAAACATACAACAATAAACCTGCCAACTATTTTCCCAAAATAAAGGTATGCAAATACACTGAGCAAAAATTTACCAACAATCTGATGTCAGGTTTGTAGATCCTGGCCCTTTGCGCTAACATTTTCAGTGAGTAAAGCAGAATGAATATAAATGACAAAACACCTGCTGACAGCATTAGAAGTCCATCAATAATGCATTATGTCATAATAAAACACCTGCTCTGTTATTCAGTCAATGAGACTAATAGTATTTTTTAATTATCAAATACAACAAAATTAGGTAAACATAAGCCAAAATCACAGTGTATGTGACTACAATACATATTAATGCAATAATTTTGACACTATAATAAATATATATATAAAGACTACCTTTGGAAATAAGTCAATCTAACATCTAATTTGTAGCATTTAGGAATTCAGTGTGATTAATCTCAGAAAACGAGACCGTACAAAGTTCTAACCTTGAAAGGCCCAGCTTTATTAACCTCACTAATACAGTGTGAGAAGATTTATTCAGAGTTAGCCAATAGGTTACCTGTCAAAACCTCTGTTATTAAGAACCACACTGGAGGAGGCTCACTAATGTGTGTCATGAGATCTGAGACAGGAGGAGAGAAAAATGCAGTAAAACTTCCCATAAAGCCCTCAGTCATGCTCGAGCTGCACGCCCAGAACGGGTTCACGTTTAGGTTGTAGAAGCTGTGTGTGGCTGCAAATATGACTGTGTGTGTATCCTGGTCTATGTGTAATGTCAGGACTGACTGATGGTTGCAGCTCTGGGGATTCCCATTAGGCAGAATGCAATCTGGTAAAGAGGCTGTACTGGGTGAGACTCCACATAAGGTACTTCATCTCGAGATAGGGAAATATTGGTTGAGAACCTGCTTCATTGCAACTGCACACAATCACACGCTCTGCGCCTCTTCTGATGTAAGCTTTAAGCTTACTTCCATGGCCTGAAATTTACCCAATATTAAGCTTCACTAATACTAAAGCCCAAAGTGACAGGTTAGATAGCAGCATGAGCATCCGACTCATACAGCTGAGCTGAACTAGCAGAGAAAGACAAAGAGAAGAGCGTGCACGGCTTGTAGGAGAATAGCATGGGAGGTGAGAAAGTAATTAAGGACACTTAAAATAAAACAAAACACAGCATGTTGCTAGTGGTGTCAAGCTCTGTCACTGTCACTGTACTTTGCAAACTGAAAACTAATCATTGCAAACCTTCACACTAATACCTAAGCCACAATCACAGTGTATACTGCCTCAAGATGAATTCATCTGCAGCTATCTACAAAGAGAGAGCCACAACACTGTTAATCACCCTGTAATAGTGTTTAGGCCTGCTTGTGCTCAGCTGTTTGTCTGTTCCTGCAGTAGAAGTGTACTTAATAGTCAAGTTTGCAATAATACAGGATGCATTAAATATTTGCAGCACCTGTGCTCCTCTCCTCCCAAATGTAGAAAAACACAAGGACAAACAACATTTGCATATTCAGTTACACTGTAGTTGCATGAAATAGTAAATTATTAACCCTCTGAGCTAAGTTAAACTCATCTATAAATCAATCAGCAGGAAGAAATCCTGGATTATGTTAAACATTTCTACAAACAGAGAGCTGGTGTTGAAAGTAATACTTCTAAACAAGAGACAAGTATTTTTCTAGAAGGAAACACATAGATGTAAATAATAACTTCAAAATGTACCCAAAATTAGGTTTCATAACATACGGCTACATATTAAGTGCAAGATAGCGTAACAGTATGAGCTTCGGACCGATACAGTCGAGGTGAATGAGCATGGCATCATGACAACGACAATAGAGAGTAGGGCTGCCACGATTAGTCGACTAATCACGATTAATAGTCGACGACTAATTTAATAGTCGACGCATCGTTTGAAGCTTTGTAAGATCCCAAAAAGATGCAGGAATAAGTAGTGGTATTTAAGAGTGTAATAATAGACCGAAACAGAAGATGGCAGCACTGCATGTAAAAGGATGCCAGCTGCCGTTAAACCCCGAAGAAGAAGAAGAAGAAGAAGAAGAAGCTGTGTCCCAGAATTCATAGCGTGGCCCAGCGCAGTAGTCAACAATGGCGGCAGCTAGTTAGTTTTAATATTACTCTTATTATTCTTTTTGGGTCACAAAAAAAAGTTTAACGTGTTTTCAGGCTGACTGTAGCTGTGTAAACCTCAAATATCTGCTCAGTTTATCAAGACATCACATATTTTCAAAAGCGCTCTAACGTGAGACGTCTGTTACCCACTAGCTCGATAGTTAGCCGGGGTACAAGGCTCACTAGAGCCGGTGAGAACACCAGACTCCCAGCAAATCGTTTTCAAATCCATCGCCGTCTTTCACTACTCAGGTTAAACATGTAATATAAGTCACTTAGATAAGTTAAAAATGTTATTGTTTGGCTTTTTTAGTATTTTATTTGTTCCTGAGTAAATCGGTTTGGCTGAGATTAAAGTTATCGTTTTTACACAGCTGACTAAACGTCAAGCAGACAACTGATTATCAGAAGTGTGAGATGCTCGAGAATATACTCCGGTGTCCTGTTATATTTTAGATAGCAAGGAGCAAACTGCAAATTTCATTAAAATTTAACAAACTATCATCTTGTCTTTATTTTTAGTTAGCATATACCTTAAACACTTCAAGCTGTAAGCTAACGATAGTTATATAAGAGCAGATGCGTGCTGGTGCAATAAGCTGTACGTTTTACGTCCAATGGATGCATGACCTGATTAGTCGACTAATTGCAAAAATAATCGGTGACTAGTCGACTATCAAAATAATCGTTTGTGGCAGCCCTAATAGAGAGTGTGTACGACTTGTAGAAAAATAACAAGGGAGATGAGAAAGTAATAAAGAGGACTTAAAATAAAGCAAAACACAGCATGTCGGCACTGGTGTCAAGCTCTGTCACAGTCACTGTACTTTGCAAACTGAGAACTAATCACTGTAAACCTTCGCACTAATAGCAGCACTTAATACACACACACACTAGCAGAGCGACACGCACACACGGGTTCTCACAGTGAACACAAAGCAAGTCAGCACATCCGAGTAGTAGCAGCTACAACTGTCTAGCTAGCTATTACTTACCCTGGGATAAAATTAGAGTGGCTATTGGTAAGTGTCTGTAAGGATGAGGAATCACGCAATTTCTCAAATTCCAGATATTGTCTAGTCTCTAACTTCATAAGTTCCTAATTTATACTGTATTTTTATTTTGCAGAATTATGAAACTTTGAGCTTAACATCAGTTGTTGGAATACTGCCTTTAATTGTGTCTATAAGTGTAAATGGCCTGTATGGAGAAGCACAGTTGGGCTACAGTATTTCTGTTATACACCTAGATTTACTCAGTCTGTTTTTCTGTTTGATTTACTGGCTATAAACAACAACCATTCAAAACAACAATCACAATTCCTGTACTTATATAGCTATATTGATTCCACAATTGTAAATGTGGCATTTTGTGGCTGTGCACAAGTTAAAATCAGGGATGACTGATAGACATAAAACTGGCAATAAAGGTTGAAAGTCCCCTGTGCTTTTGTGGCCATCAGCTGAAATATTCAGAGCCAAAAACTGCAATGTTATGTGGGAGATCTACCGACCGGCATCTCAAACATGTGTTTATAACAGACAGAGACTGTCTGCATTTACAATACAAATGTGAAACTGCACAGTTATTTCTGAGAGCTGAATGCTGATGATAGGAAACGCTTTTCAAAAGGAAGGTTTTCTAATTGCAACACTTAATTTTCAGCATCCAAATGAAACTATACTAAATAACTTCAGTGCAATACAGCTAAATATGTGCACCACATAATTATCCTTCAGTACTTGAAAAGCAAGAGAAAGATAGGTCAAGAGGAAGTGCAGCACAGGAGAAACGTGCAGGAGTTTAACTGCGACAACTACATCTTTATCGTCCTATAGCACTTCAGTCGCCTCTTCTATGACCAGATTTTCTCATGTCAAGGTTCAGATTTTCCTTGTGAGTAAGCATAACATCTAAAACAGTGAAATGCAGGATGTTATATCTGTTATGTTTTAGATTCTGATGGGCTTCACCTTTGGGTCAAACACAGGGAATTAGAGGCAGACATTTTCAACTGACCTCATCACTGAGCTATCATATATGACAGCTAAGATGAGGCTAGGACTCTAAGAACTAGATTTTTTTTCAGAAATATGATAATGGTCAGGTTATTTTCACCCATTAAACTAAGCATAATAGGCAGATGTAAAATTGTAGAAGCTTCAGCTTTCATAACAGACTGCTCTGTTTCTTCTTCATTAATACACATGTATATTGGTTTATAAAAGCACAAAAAAACACACTGGCAGCTGCCAGTGTTGCCTCTGAGCATCCTAGCAGATTCAAAATCCTACATTGCCTTGTTCTCGAGTTACTGCATTCACCTCTCACCTCTGATCTTGAAGTCAAGGTCACCAGATTCAAACTTGGCCAAGATTTTTAGTAGATACACCTACGGTATCAATTTCAAACTCCTACTTCTTCTCATTCTCGAGTTATCAACTTCACAACCTGTGTGTCCACACTGCTTGCCCACACATGCTATCGGACTTTTAAAGCTGAAGGCAAAAAGCACTCCCCTGGTGACAATTTATAAAATAATTTTACTCTGTACATGTAAATGAGAGAATGTTGAGAGTTTTACTGTGATAAAAATACTGAAATATTTTTTCATTTAACACCTGACAAGTTATTTTTTAATCCTGGATGAATCCTGGATGTCTTTGCACTATATAAATATATACACACACACACACACACACACACACACACACACACGTTCTTTTTTGTCAGCAGTGGTTTTCATCTTGGAATTCATGGCTGCCATTTTTGCCCAGTCTCTTTCTTATTGTTGAATCATGAACTCTAACTTTAAGTGAGACATGTGAAGCTTAATGTTGTTCTGGGTTCTTTTTTGACCTCCTGGATAAGTGGTCGATGTGCTCTTGGAGTAATTTTGTTCAACCGGTCATTCCTGGGAAGCTTCATCACTGTTCCAAGTTTGATCCATTTGTGTATAATGGCTCTCACTGTGGTTCACTGGAGCCCCAAAGCCTTAGATATTGCTTTGTAACCCTTTCCAGACTGATAGATGTCAGTGTCTTTGTTTCTCAGGTGTTTCTTTAGATCGTGCCATGATGTGTTGATTTTTGAGATCTTTTAGCTTCAGTTTGTCGG